AATGTGTCATTTTTTGTTGATCTTTGTGAAAATCATTTTGAATAAATTTGTTTCGATATTTTATTTTTCTTCAAATTTTAGAGAAGCTTGACAAAATTAACAAAATGCTTTGGAGAGTGTCATGTACAAGACCAATGACTGGTCATTCCACATCGGTGACAAATATTTTCAACTTTCTTTTTTCCTTGACCACTTTTATCTAGGATGTGAGTTTTTGTTATTTTCCAACTTGTGGTGGTTACTTGTAATCTTGTTATTTTTATGATAATTATGATAATCTCCATGACTTCGGTTATACCCATGACTATTATGATTATATGATGTTGCATTCACTTCAGGGAATGCACTAGAACTGGTCGAGATTGATTAGTGATTTTTCATCAATAACTCATTGTTTTGTTTAGCCACAAGAAAACATGCGATTAATTCATATTTATTTTAAACATTTCTTATGATATTGCTACTGCAGGAGCATTTTAGTAGCATGAAAAGTAGAGAAAGTTTTCTCTAGCATGGTCTTCCATAATGAAAATAGTAATCAAAATAAAGACTTGTATGTTAAGGAATTGTTAGTTAAGAAATTCCATAAAATAAGTTGTAAGCATTATACATGTAAACTTATAAAAATACATACCTGAAAATGTCAAGAACAATAAGGAGTTAGAGCTCTATGGTAGAGTCGTGCTGATAACGTGTTATAAAATATGATCAAATAACAAGATAAATTATAAAATAAAGAAAGACATGAGAGTGGAGAGAACTTTTATTCCAATACTTGTGATGAAATCATCAACTTTCTAATACATATGACTCACTATTTATACAACCAGAATAAGATGAAAGATGAATGCACATTATGATGGTGCATTATTACACTCATAAAACACATTGAAATGGTTGTTACCAATGCTAAATAATGATAGAGAGTTATGAGAGAAATGAGAAATCTAATGGTCATTCACAAACTAATATTTCATAACATTAAACACTTGAATTCAACATCAATAATCTACATTAATTTTTTTCTAAAAAGATACCCTTAATCTAGACGGTTGTAGTTAGTGGTGGATGATTGTTGACTGTGGATAGGCAATTGAATTGTTGAATGAAATAATAATATATAAAAATAGAAAAAAAAAACATCTTTCGGATTAACAAGGGTATATTGGTGATTTACAACTCTATTTGAACGGAATATTGAAAAAGGACCAAAGTTGCTACTTTTTGAAACCACAGGTCTATACTTGAAGAGTTTTTTAGAGTTGTCATCAAACTGCCACTTTTTGAAATGCTCAGGGACCAATTCTGAAATTTTGTATTATTATTATTATTATATGGACCCCAAACTCTCTTTTGATAAACCTGAAATGTCCCTACAAATCTTCATGACCCCACCCCATCACCATTGCAATCAATCACGCAAGGCCAAACCCACGACCATGACGTTTCTACGAACATCACAAATTATCACCTTACTTGAAGCATGGTCTAGAGAATATGAAGATGGAGGGTGAGATCCATTATTATTATTATTATTATTATGATCTTTATATTGTTGTTATTAAAAAGGTTCACTCCACTCCAAATTATAAACTAAAAATTAGAAATAATAGCTGCGTGTAGTAATCTTTACATGAATTGTACTTAGAAGTAAAGTTGTGGGATTTTAGTTATAGAGGAAATTATGAGAAACTAATGCGAGACATTTTGAATTATGAGTTGATTTTTCATAGCAGTAGCCCTTTTTATTTTTAGCTACAATTATCAATTCAAATCATATCATTGTAGCTACAATTATCAATTCAAATCATATCGCCATGGCATCAAATCACTAACTTCAGTGTGGTTTTAGAAAATCAAGCAAACGATCAACCATGAACCATCATGGGTCTGTTAACACAATTGTGACCAAAGGCCCTTCGGCTTAGCGATAAGAAATGACTCTCATTTTAAAGATTATGAGTTCAAGTCTTGCTCAAAGACTTAAGTGGTGATAGTTAGTAGATTAGTTTGCGGTTTAAAAAAAAAAAAATAGTGGGTAGTCTCTTTGGTCAGAAAGCTATAATTGAAAGACCTCAAATAATAATAATGTAATAATATCACAAAATTTCAAAACCATCATAGAGGAACTTAAAAGAAAACATGAAGTAATCTGAAAAATTAAAAAAAGAAAAAAAAAAACATCTCTAATCTTAACTTTTACAGGGCTTGGGCCTGATCTCAATTCCTTGAATGAGAAGCCCACCTTTCCAGTTTCCTCCTTTCACCTCCGTCATACTCATTTCCAGTTCTCCTTTTTCTCCTTTCTTGATATAATACTCACCAAGCTCAATCTCCAGCCATCCATCTTCTCTTTGCTTTGGGCCCTTTGAAGAGTGTGTATTAACAGGGACGACGACTGGGTGGTTCGGAAGGTGGCGTCTATGGAACATTCCCATTCTTCTTCTGGGCACAACTGGATATCGTCTTCTCTCTTCAGATTCTGGTTCTAGAAGCACGGTTTGAGTCTGGGTTTCGAGCCCACTGATCCCAATTGAAACCTCTGCAGGTTGATACTCGAATCCGTAAGTTTCTGATGTTGATTTGAAGACGATGAATGCTACGTATGTGGTGTTTGGTGAAAGCATGGAAGTACTGATCCTGCCATGGACTTCAAACCAACATACGCTTATCAGCTCAGCCACCTCTGAAAAACGTGATTCCGGTGATGAGATCCATCGCCAATACCTCGGAGTATCTCCCCAGACAATCGATAGGTCCCTTGCAGCCAACATGTAGCATTTCTTTCCGGTTTTTTTGTCCAGTGAGAAGCTCTGTAAAAAAATAGCATCAATGGCGTCAGTTTAGACAATATTCAAATTTAAAGCTCGAGCCACAATTTTAACGAACAAAGACTCGATCCCACAATTTTAACGAACAAGGACTCGATCCGTTCCGCCGTTTTAGAAAACAGAGGCACCCAAAACTCGAGGCCGTTAAAAAAAATCGGTCTTTGTGGCTAAAATGTTTTTAAATTGATAGAATTAACAAAGTTTGATCTTTAAATGATTTGAAAAGCAAATGAACAGAAAAAAAAATCGAGAATTTAACCTTATTGCCGCCATCGATGATGAGAGGATGATCACAGAGACGAAGATACAGCTGTTTCTTGGAAGAAAAACTTAAGGAACAGCCACCGTCTTCCGCCTCGGATACAATCTTCTGGTAATCGAACGGTAAGAAAGTCTCCCAGACGGCGTCCCATTCCGCCGCCGACCTAAAAAGGGAGGAAACCAAGGACAACCTGCAAGCATCCCGAGGGCTGGTGAGGGATAACGCCTTGGCTACGAACCCTTCTGGTAACGACCCAAAGAAATCATCGTCGGCGAAACACCTTTCAACGCTATCTTCATTTTCCATTTTCGATAACCGACTTCTCATATTTGGCAGTTTTTGAAATGTATGTGTATATGTTTATATGAAGAAGATGTATGTGTTTATGTCTATATATATTGTGTAGCTTTCAGCAGTGTCAGATAGCTTAGGGGTTAAGTTTTTTAGTGTTAAAAAAAGCGGTGTTGTTTAAAATGGGTGGACTTTAAGACGTTGGATCTGAGAGTGAATG